GAGGGTGATGTGCTAATTGTGCAGTACATCGGGCATGGGGCTCGTGCTTGGAGGACGGAGTCGAGTTGTTCTCACTGGTCACACAGACGATTCTTGGGTTGACGACTTGGCCACGCAGCGTTTGTCACAGGGTTACACCTTCAGCCTGGGCTCCGGTTCTGTTTCGTGGCGGTCTACCTGCTCGTCTTCTGATCTCAGCTCCAGCTGTGAGGCTGAGATCTACGCAGAGGCCATGGCTGCACAGGAGTTACACTGGCTCACCTACCTGCTGACCGACTTGGGAGAGCCGCCTCGTTCTCCTCCAGTTCTGTACGTCGACAACAAGGCCATGATTGCCTTGTCTCAAGAGCACAGACTGGAGCAAAGAACGAAGCACATCACTCTGCGTTACTTCCTTGCTCGAGAGTTGCAGCAGCGTGGTCAGCTTTGTCTTGCTTACGTGGCCTCTTAGTCCAACACTGCTGATATCTTCACCAAGGCACTTCCGCCTTGTGATCATCAGCGTTTCTGTACTGTTCTAGGGCTTGTGCCTACTTGGCCTCACTTGCTTACTTCTTGACTTTGCTTGTACTGTTATCTATATACTTGTACCTGCATGCTTACCCTTGCTAGGTTGTGATCGCTGTACTGCTTGTTCTCCGTTATATATAACTCTGCATGTGAACTGGCCTTGTGGCCATTTGCTTGTGCTCAGAATGTGTGGTGACTTCGTGATCCTTGCCATTTGCTTGGTTTTCCTCGAACCCGTTGAATTTCTTTGCCATCGGGTAGAAGTAGGGAGTCTTTATCGAGTACTCCTGCTCTTATCGTGTTGTTTAACGTTGTATTGCTTGGATGTCCCATTCTTGCATGCCAGATGTCTTCGCCGGTGCGATATCCGAGTGAACGCCTGTACAAGTCGGAGTTGGAGTAAAAACCGGCGGTGAAGTTGGCGCTTCTATGGACTTCTCGTGGAGTGGGTGTCAGCTGTTGCGCAGGAGTTGGTGGAGTATCGTCGTCGATTGGGACTGGTGCCGTTGAAGGACCCGCGATTGGTGTCGTGATCGGTGTTGTCTCTGCTGCTGTCGATTTTGTCTCTGCTGCTGCCGATGTTGTCTCTGCTGCTGCCGATGTTGTCTCTGCTGCTGCCGATGTTGTCTCTGCTGCTGCCGTTGTTGTCTCTGCTTGTTGGATTGTCGCTAATGCTCGTGTTCGTTCTGCCTCAGATACGGTGTTTGAGTACCAGAAGCCGCCGGGGCTGAAGTCGGGGTCGAGATCTGGCGGATGTGTCCAGGGAGCGAAGGTGACGATGCCGTCGCTGTCGGCGGTGCCTTGATCTGGAACGAAGTCGAGGACGAAAACGTTGTTCTTCAGTACTGCCTTGCCAATGTAGAGACCTCCTTTCCCGTGGTACAGTTTAAACTCATGTGTGGTGCTATCTGCTTCGAAGTGGATGCCCTTCGCCATCAACTGGCTGACGCTGAGTAAGTTGTAGCCGAGTCCCTCCGCGATTAAAACTTTTGACATTTGCAGTATGACATTGGTTTCTCTTGACTTAAGTTGAATGATGCCTTGTCGTCGTGTGCGCAGGTTTTGGTTGTTGACAACGGTGATGACTACTTCGCGTTGAAGTTGATGTTCCTTTTGGACGAAGCGACCCGAGGAGCACATGTGCTGTCTGCAGCAACCGTCCAAGAACCAAGTGTCTTTCCCGGATGGCTCGCTCTGGGCGATGGCTGCGTATGTCGGGTTCGGCTCCAGTGACTCGCGGCGAGGGGTGCTTTCATCGAGTTTTTCTTCCGGTGAGTAGTACAGTGGTGATTCAGTGATGCAGGAGTCTGTCAGTCTTGCCATGCAGCTCACGATGCTTCTTGTCCCTTGTGCAGGTTGCGTTGTTAACGTTGTTGAAGCTTGAACTTGAGGAGTGGGATGCGCTTGTGTTGAGGCGACTGGGCTGCTTGAAGGTCGAAGTTATCGTTGCGGTGGTGTTGACTGCTGTCGACTTGGGCAGTGTGTACGGGGGTGTCCAGACGTCTTGCAGAGATGACAAAACGGCGGTACATGTTGCTGCTATTGTACTGTCGGTTGGAGTTGTTGAAGCGCCGTTGGGTGTGGAATGCAAATTCGGGTACTGACGTTTTCTTCTTGTGTCGCTCCTCGTGCAGGTCCATGTCTTGTTGTTCGGCGTGTATTTTGGCGCAGAGTGCCGCTTCGGAGATCTTCCCGTGAGCTTGGAGTATGGCTCGAGTGGAACGCCAGTGAGGACCAAGGCCGGAGATGACGACTGTGACGAAGGCCTCTTTAGATATCGATCCTCCACATCGAAGGAGTTTGTCGCGCAATTCGCGACAGCGGCTGATATACGCCATCCCCTTTTCGCCTGGTTTCATTTCCACTGTTGTCAGCTGTGCCATTAACCGACTTTGATTGACGCTGTCTATTGCTTGATACATGTTCTTCAAATGGTTGTACACGAGCTCTGCGGAGTTGCCGTATCCCCGATAAGACCGGATGTTCTGCTGTTGGTTTGGAGTTATGTTCCTCAACAGAATCGTGAATGCCATCATCGACTGCTAAGTGTACTGTTGTTTGTCGTACTGTGTCCCGTGTGTTGGATATGGCAGGGACCCGTCGAAGAATCCAAGAATCTGCGCGCCTTCCATCATCAGCTCAAGCTCGAATGACCAGGTATAGAAGTCTTTGCTGTCGAAAGGCGTTGATGTCTGTAATTTCAAGACGTGCGCGAACTGCGATTGAACCTGGAGTTCATCCAGCGTCTTCTCCTGTCCATGTCGAGGCTGTTGTTGCGGCATGAAGCTGATTGAGCCACGTTCAGGCTCGTACGGAGCAAAGGCGGGTTGCTGTTGGTTTCCGCGCGCATAGGATGAGCCATCAAGACTCATGGGTGTAACATCGTTGTTGTTGTTGCTGATGTTTGACTGCGCAGGTGCCGCTTGTTGATGCTGTTCGTAGAAGGACATGAAGGAGAAGAATTTCTCCATCATACTTGGGTCGAAGCCTGTCGCTTGGTTCACAGGAGTCTCAGTAGACTCAGCTGCTGGTCTTGTTGCTGTACCCCCCTCTGTCTGTAGGCCAGAGGCTGGAGGTGGATTAGGAGTAGTGCCAGGAGAGCCGTTGGAGGAACTTCTCTCCTTCTGTGTTGCCATGCCTTCTGATGTTGTAGGAGTTGAAACGGAGTGGAGTTTTGCCTTGTTAGCTCTCATACCATGTTGGGCTGAGAAAAGCCACTAGGATCTTTGCAAGGCTAAACTCAGAGTAGAAATGTTGTAGTTGCGGAAGCGTTTTCATGATAAGTATTGAACCACCTTGCGCTAGTATGTGAGGGCAAGATAGATTGATTAAATTAAGAAGATACAAGGTTTTATAAGAGTACAAGGAATATGAAAGGGTGTAACTAATAACTGTTTCACTGTTGCTGTTGCGGTTCGATACAGTGACGACTCGGGCAACAGCTCAGTATCGAGTCAGTTGTTTGTCCTTGCTGTCGCGCTGTATTTGTAAAGTCAAAGGTCGCTGACCTTTGACCTTCGCGTAATCTCCAGCAGTTACTTCTCTTGTCAACCTCCGATGGTTGACTCGTCATTGCTTCATTGTAGTTCGCTTCGCTTGTAGTTAAGTGTTTAGACACATCAGAAGCGCTTAAGTCACTTGTTTCCAACACCGTGCGTTGTATTTTCAGTTGAATCACTGCACTAGCACGGGCCCAGTTCTGTTGCCCAGCGGCAAATGGAGGGCGGACAGCACAGCACAGCACCACTGGTGCGGCCGGGTGCTTCCGCGAAGCCAGGAACTCCCCACGTTGGTGCGATACAGATTCCTGCCACCCTCCGCGCAACTAGAGGAGCTTCGTAAAAGTTTATCTTAGCTGACCGTTAAAATGTTTTCCGCGAAGATAATTGGTGGGTTTGGTGCAATACAGCCAACCAGTACCAAAAATATTTCTCGTCACCAATGGGACATTGCCCTTCCCCATTACGTGTTCCTTTCGGGGCATTTGTCCCTGCCCGGAACTACTTGTGCTGTCCCTGGGTCCCCGATTCGAGCGGGAACCAGTCTCGCACCAGTCTCGCACCCAGTTTGCCTGGGAGGAGGGAACAGCACAGCACTACTGGTTCAGAGTTCTTTTGCGCTAGATGGGCCGCACAGCACAGCACAGCACTGGCCAGGCTCGGGATAGAGTTCAAGGTCCCGAGCCTGATTCAAGGAATGCGCCCTCGAAATTGAATCTTCGAGGATCACTGGTAGAGGGTCTCACGAAGCATCATCTAGTGCTGTGCGGAGGGGTCCGCACCAGTAGTGCGGCAACAGAACTGGGCCACGGTGTTCCAGTTGGGTTCGGACATCGAGAGCTGAACCTGCTGCGAACGTGACGGGCCCAGGGTACCCGGGTCATTTTCTTGACATCGCGCCACGTCGGCTGGTTGCGATTCGGTTCTGTCGGGGTTACAAATGGCCCTCGTGGCCATCACCGCTGGCTCGTGGCTCGTTGATGGTTGACGAGTCTCAAAATGTGTTCGTCAGAAGGGCTCGTGCAGTTCGTTGAGTCGCCAATTTGTTGCACGTGCACAAAAGTGCCCAGTTTCACTTGAACATGCGCACACATGTTCAGCCACTGATTCCGAGCCCCTTTCAGAAAACGGATTACACAAGCGCGCAGTTCAACTGTTTGTCATCTCGAAATTAAAGAGGCTGGTAACCCTATTCAGTTCGCACTGTGTGATGAACCTGAAACTAATTTACACACGCCCTAATATTTGGACTATCGAGTGTGGTGAGAGGGGCTGGGAAAGACTTCGTCGCTCCTGACAGAAGTGGAGTGGAGTGGAGTGGAGTGGAGTGGCTGGTGGTAATTCGGTTACCACCAGGTCCCTTTTACTATAAAGTTTTGGCACTAGCCCTGCCAAATGTATACCGCTGGCTGGTGAACAGTGCCTGCGTGGTTACGCAATCATAAATGCTGCTTCTTGGCCCGTCCATCACTGATTGAGAGGCGGGTTGAGATGAATCAGCGCGCGCTTATCCTAGGTGCCGTGGCCGTGGTTCTTTCCATCGCCATGGTGCTGGCGGGCCTCAGCTTGCGCCTGGTGCCCGCACCCCGTGCTGCACTGATGGGGGCCGCGACGGCGTGGAACGGGGGTGTGGGAGGGGCAGTGACGCAAAGGAGGGAGAGAGATCAGGAGAGGGAGGGAGGAATCGAGGCCGGGAGAGACGGGGAGGGCGGCGACGAGTGGTCGCTAGGTCGCGACGAGCGCTTCCTTGTGTACGCGTCGCACAGCGGCTTCAACAACCAGGTCCGTCGCACGCCCCGCCGCGCTATCAACGCTCTATCTTGGGGGCGCCTAAATAGCCGTTATTTCAACGCATTGCGGCAAGGCTGAGTCCCACATTCGGTGGCTGAATCTTGTTACACGCCCTGCCGCCCCTCACTGACCCCGTCAATGAAGCCCTTCCCTCTCCTCCCCCCACCCGGCTGCCCCCTCCCCCCGGCACCCGGCGGAAGGTGTTGGGCTTCACGCGCGCGCTGCACATGGCGGCGCTGCTGAACCGCACGCTCGTCATCCCGCCCAAGCTGCCACACAAGTCGGGCTCGGGCGGCAACCTGGACCCGGCCACCTTCCGCGACTCCGCATGGGCCGTGTACTCGCGCCACCTGCTGCGCGCCGTACGCCGCGCGCCCAGCCCCTAAGCCTGCTCGCTCGTCGATTCACATTCGCACGCGCTGATGCACATTGCGCGCATTTTCCTGACGTGTGCGTGCATGACTGTGATGTGCACTTGCTAACGCCCCCATGCCATGTCCCTGTGCGGTGTGCGGGGTGCGGTGTGCGGTGTGCGGAGTGCGGGCAGGACTACGTGTCGATGGCGGACGTGCTGCGAGTGGCGGCCATACCGCCCACCGTGGTGCGCACCATCGACCTGCGCCACCTCGTTGCTCGCCTCTGCGCCTGCGACGTGGCCGTGCCGTGCTGGACGGCCTCGTGCCACGGGCTCACACGCAACACCACGTCCTCGCACCAGGTACTCACGCCTGCCTCGCTGCGCCTCGCCCACCCGCTACAAGCACGTGCGCTACAGCGCTCACCACGCTGCTTGTGCGGCTGGCTTGCGCGGGCGCAGCAGCATGAGCATGCGGTCAACGGGTGTCAGCTGCTGCCGTGTGCTCACAGCAGGAGCGCGCGCCTCACCACCTGTCTGCATGCTGCTTGCCCGTGCGCCCCATCCTGCCAGGCGCGTGTGCGCTGCCTGCAGCAGTGCGGGGCAAGGCTGGGCGCGGCGCCCCTGGCGCGCGCGGGGCCGTGGGGCGCGCTGGACGCGGTGTGGGGCGCCGTGTATGGGGCATGGGGCACAGAGACGGACGTGGCAGCCGCGTGGGAGGCGCAAGGCCTGCTGTACCGTGTCCCCCACATGTGTAATGAGACCTTGTGGACAATCGGCAACTATTCCGGGTAACGACTCTGGGCTTTCTCTGCTCCCGCTGCTTGTCCATTGCCCAGGTATGATGGCACCCTCCCCACCACGCGCCCACCGCCTTTCCCCCCCGCCCTAAGCCCTTCCCGGTGCAATTCCGCTGAGGCCCAGGGCGCAACTGCGTTCGTGCTCCAACCACTGTGCACAACCCGCATGCTTCCCCCCCCCCCCCCCCCCCCCCCCTCCCCCCCCACCCCCCTCCCCCCCTTCCCCCTGTGCGCGCATTTGTTTGCAGCCTGCGTGCGTTGCGTGCAATGGTGGGAGACAGGGCGCAGTGGCCGATAAAGCGGTGCATGAACACGGACATCAACGAGTATCTGCCCAAGCCCACGCCGCTGCACAGCCTGCTCATGCCGCACACTGCCAAGGTCACTGCTGCCACTGCCGCTCCCCCTTTTCTCCGCCATGTGGGCGCCCCACCCATCGCCTAGTGTAGGGCAGTGGGCTTGCATGCACTTGTGCCAACTCATCTCGTCTTGTTCGTGATTGCTCGTGCGAGCGAGCTGCTGCATGTGATGCGTGCATGTGTCTGTGGTGCCGGGGCCTCTGACTTTGAGTGCGCAGGTGATGGCGTTCGCCTCCATGTTCCGCACACCCATCGCTGATATTCGCCTCGACTTTGGCCCTCGCGTCAACCAAATACGACAGGTCAGGCACGCTGCCCGCACCTCGTTGCTCCACAGCCGAAGTACCTGTCCTTGCTTTTTGCGTTCGTGCTGCTGTGCTTTTTGTATGCCGTGCTGTTTGCGCGTTTGGGAAAGTGCGTGCACAGCGTGTGCTGAAATGACATGTGCACGCATGCGCGCACGTGCCGCACTTGCTGCGCGCAGGGCTCTCCTCTGAGTAGTGGAGCGAGCTCTGCCCGCCGTGCACGCACGTCAATGCCTGCACCCAGTGTCCAGCGCTGTGCTGGAGGGGGCAGCTGTGAGCATGGGAGTGGGGCGTCATGGGGCCATGGCATGGGACTGCTGCTGTCGCGCACTGTGTTGGGTCATTGCTGTCGTAAGGGCCATGTGAGCACGCACATGACTTTATTGCCCACTCGCCTCTAGCCCTAGTAGGGCGTGCACTAAGGGCAAGGGAATGGGAGTACGTGAGTGATGGTGTGGTTGCCACGTGGCGTGTATACAGTAGGCACGAGCAAAGGGTCGCGGCCCTCCTGCCGCGAGGACAACCCGGAGTTTTGTTTCTGGGTGGTCAGCCTGCCACCATTTGCCTCGGAGCCCACCTCATGAGAGCGGGCCGGTGTGCACTACGCAGACCCCTGAGTGCCGACTTGCACTGGCCTTTCACGGGCTTGCCCTTGAGGAACCCTGCTGCAGCCCCATGATAGAGCAACATTGTTGACGCCGAGTGCATCTTGGCGGTTGGGTGGGCGCAATGCACGTGTGCCCAGCGCAGTGGTTGGTGGCGCGGATCCAGTGGGTCGGGGTTCATGGACCAAGAGACAAATCCATCAGCGCTCTTCTGCCCCTTGCGCCTCGTCACGACCCGCACTATGTCCGACTCCCACCGTTGCCCGTCCGTTGCAGAGGCTGGGCAGGTGTCAAGTGAGGCAAAATGGCCTGAATTTGACCCGGCAAGGCTGACGGGCTGGGGAGGTTCGTCACGGTCCTGATTCAACCCTTGCTCATGGGTACAAAACAGCACGTAATGCTTACAAGTGGAAAGTGAGGATAGTGATGAGCATTCACCAAGTGGAGGGCGACTAGACATCACACGTCCTCTCCCTGGAATTTCCACCAAGACGTGAAGTGGCAGTGGAGGCAAGCATGCCCTTGCTGTCTCCAAGGACGGGATGACCGTGGATAGGTGTGCATGTGGAATCACCTCTCTTGCATTGTAAGTGGAAACGGTTCAAGCAAATGCGCCTTTCAGTTCTGCTCGCTCTTCATGCTTTCCTCTGTCCCCTTGGCATCGTTTCCCCTCCCGCCTGTGAGGCAGGCCGCCCTGCCTTTCTTCTCGCAGCTTATACTGGATGCAGCTGCCGCGTTTGTGAGGGAGCACTTGCCGCGTGCGTATGCTTGTGTGCACGTGCGGGGCATTGAGCCGCCGTACAGCACAAAACTGAACGCCACACTGCGGTATGCGGGGAGGAAAGCATCATCGTGTGCACATCCGTGTCAAGGCAACGCTTGCCTGCTGCTCTCCACTGTTTCAACTCCACATCAACCATGCCACGCATGCCCATGTCGCCACTCTCTGTGCTCGTTCCTTCCCCCCCCCCCCCCCCCCCCGCCCAGCATAGCAGAGGCAGCCGTTGCTGCCATGGTGCGGCGGCATGGCAGCGGGGCAGGGGGGCGGGTGCCTGTGTTCCTGATGACGGACCTGGACCGCCCCACCTGGCACGCACTGCTGCTGCCGCGCGTCACTGCACTGGGAGTGCGCATGGTGACTCTTGATGCCACACCATTCGCAGCGCGCATGCATGATCTCTCGCGCGCCCTGCGCCAACAAGGGGCCGGCATCAGAGCCAACCGCCTTGCACCTCCCCCACAAGTATGCCACTCCTCAGCCGCTCTTGACTCGCTAACGCAGCATGGGGACTTGATGCTTGTAGTGCAAACATACAGCTCAAGTGAATGCAGTGTTCTCGTGCTGTGTTGAAACATCTCTGCTAGAATAACCATCATGGCTGACTTGAGGGCATGGGCGCGGCACATCAGTACGCACGGCGTAGTGCTGCCCCGTGCACAGCAGGGGGGGCCTCGATTAGAATGTGTGCACAACAGGGGCACAGCATGAGTGCGTGCACAGCAGGGGGGCAGCATGAGTGCGTGCACAGCAGGGGGGCAGCATGAGTGCGTGCACAGCAGGGGGGCAGCATGAGTGCGTGCACAGCAGGGGGGCAGCATGAGTGCGTGCACAGCAGGGGGGCAGCATGAGTGCGTGCACAGCAGGGGGGCAGCATGAGTGCGTGCACAGCAGGGGGGCAGCATGAGTGCGTGCACAGCAGGGGGGCAGCATGAGTGCGTGCACAGCAGGGGGGCAGCATGAGTGCGTGCACAGCAGGGGGGCAGCATGAGTGCGTGCACAGCAGGGGGGCAGCATGAGTGCGTGCACAGCAGGGGGGCAGCATGAGTGCGTGCACAGCAGGGGGGCAGCATGAGTGCGTGCACAGCAGGGGGGCAGCATGAGTGCGTGCACAGCAGGGGGGCAGCATGAGTGCGTGCACAGCAGGGGGGCGCAGCATGAGTGCGTGCACAGCAGGGGGGCAGCATGAGTGCGTGCACAGCAGGGGGGCAGCATGAGTGCGTGCACAGCAGGGGGGCAGCATGAGTGCGTGCACAGCAGGGGGGCAGCATGAGTGCGTGCACAGCAGGGGGGCAGCATGAGTGCGTGCACAGCAGGGGGGCAGAGCATGAGTGCGTGCACAGCAGGGGGGCAGCATGAGTGCGTGCACAGCAGGGGGGCAGCATGAGTGCGTGCACAGCAGGGGGGCAGCATGAGTGCGTGCACAGCAGGGGGGCGCAGCATGAGTGCGTGCACAGCAGGGGGGCAGCATGAGTGCGTGCACAGCAGGGGGGCAGCATGAGTGCGTGCACAGCAGGGGGGCACAGCATGAGTGCGTGCACAGCAGGGGGGCAGCATGAGTGCGTGCACAACAGGGGGGCAGCATGAGTGCGTGTACAGCAGGGGGGCAGCATGAGTGCGTGCACAGCAGGGGGGCACAGCATGAGTGCGTGCACGGGGGGGTCCCCCTGGCAGCCTCCCTGTGGAGGCCGTGGCAGCACGGCGCCGCCCACCCGCATGCATGCATGCACCTGCCACTGCCTGCCTTGGGAACAGGTGCATGGGCCCTGGCAAGCTCATGGCGAGCGGGTGGGCACAAGGATGGGCATTGGCAGTGTGTGAGGGTAGATTCATAGGGGCTGCTTGTAGCACTGATGGTGTGCCTCAGGCATGTACTTGCACAAGGGTCCATCAGTAGTCCATGCATTGAGCTAGAAGCGATGTTTGCTTGGCAATGAATCGCAAGGGGTGGCAGCTTGGAGGGGGGTCTTATGCGCACTTGCACATATTTTTTCATATTTCTTATTGCACATCTCTGTCGTCATGAGTGCCTTGATTCTCCGCTTCACCCACCTCAGCAGTTCCTATGGAAACCCTGTTGTACGATAAGATACCGGTATGGTGGCATGCTCGGCTTTCCCCGCTTAGCATCTCCTTTCTGTTGCTAAATGCGCAGGTTAAGTGGGGGAATGATGTGGCGTACAACAACACGAGCTTCAGCACCTACCCGGCAGGGTTGCCAAGCGAAATAGCAGACATACAGTTGTTTGTGGAGCAAGTTGTGTGCTGCTATGCATCCCTAGACACCATAACAACTGCCGGGTCCAGCACAAGTCTGCTAGTCTTGCTCCATCAAGCAGCTGGCCACTGCAGTAAACTTCCAGACCTGCCGTGACTTGTCCAAGGTCCAGAATTAGATTCCCATTGTCACACTGTGATGCCATACCAGCCGAGTAATTCTTTGAGTACCAACCAGGTGTAAGTGCATTACTTACCCTTATGTTTCGTAATAATTGTAAATGTGTTTGTGCAGTTCATGTTTGCTACTACGTATATGTGTACTAAATATCCTTATTCCTAGAGTAGGAAGCGGAAGTGTTGATCGACTAATAGGGAAAGGGGTACCGTACCACCCCGGATATAAGCGCAGGTGCGCTTATAATAAAACATTGATTTTTAGGGGGTGCGCTTATAATTGAGTCACGATATAAGCACATGCGCTTGTAATATGAAAAAAATGAAACTGACTTTAAATTATACCAAATTGAAGCCCACAATAAGGGCGTATTCCACGTTCGTCGTAGGGCAACGGTTCACGTCGAGTTGGTGGCAACTGTTGTCAAATGTTGTAGCTTGTAGTGAGGTTTGTCTTAGGGGGTACAAATGTTAGGGTTTGCTATATGTACCCCAACCCTCATCAATAACACAACACTTTCATTCTTGACATGGTATCACCTAGGTTAGGATCCTGTAGGATCCCGTTCCTCCCGCCCGAGCCTGACGCGTCTCATCCGTTCTGTCGCGTAGCCCCGCCGTAGCTGTCGACACTCTCCCGTTCCGTGTCCCGTCCCGTCCCGAGCCCGTTCCGTCGCGCGCGTTCCCCCTGCGCCCGCCCGTTAGCGCCCGCCCGTTCGCGCCCGTCTCGCGTGCCCGTTAGGCTGCCGCCGCGCCTGCCCGTTAGGCCCGTCGAGGGCACTGCCTTCGCGCCGCCGCGCCTGCCCGTTACGCCCACCGCGGGCCCTGTCTTCGCGCCGCCGCGTTTGCTCGTTAGGCCGCCGCCGCGCCTGCCAGTTAGGCTGCCGCCGCGCCTGTTCGTTAGGCCCGTCGAGGGCCCTGCCTTTCGCGCCCGTCGCGGGCCCCGCCCTAGCCTCTCGCCGCGCCTGCCGTTCAGCCCGCCGCGGGCCCGCCCTAGCCGCCCGCAGCGCCTGCCTTTCGCGCCCGTCGCGGGCCCCTCCCTAGCCTCTCGCCGCGCTTGCTCGTTAGGCCCGCCGCGGGCCCTCCCTTACAGCCGCCGCGCCTGCCCGTACCGCCCGCCGTCGCGCCTGCTCGTTAGGCACGCCGCGGGTCCTTCCTTACAGCCGCCGTGGGCCCTCCCTTGCAGCCGCCGCGCCTGCCAGTTCAGCCAGCCGCCGCGCCTCCTCGTTAAGTCTGCTGCGGGCCCGCTCGTTAGGCCCTTCCTTCGCACCGCTGCGCCTACTCGTACAGTCCGCCGTGGGACCGCCCCTAGCCCCGTTGCGCCCGCGTTTTGCGCCCGTCACGGACTTGCCCTAGCCGCCCACCGTCCCTACCAGTGCCACCCGCCGCCGGACTTGTCGCTTCTACTTACACTATGGCGACCCCTAGGGTTCTTCGCTTTGACGCTGAAGGTAGACCGCTCGAGTTTCCGGTCTAGCTCCTACGCGCGCGTCGCCTTTTAGAGAGTCAGGCTCAGGCGGGCGAGTCCCTTTGGGCGCACGCTACTGGTGACCTTCCAGCGCCCGACGACCCTACGCCTTTAGGCACCGCCCCTGACGACGCAGCCAGGGACCGCATTACCCGCCAGCGTGCTGACCTGACGGCGTGGAAGTTGCGTGACGCTGCGGCCTGCATCGCTCTTAGCAGCCTCCTCCCTGAGTCTGAGGAGGCCCACTTCACTCAGGTTCGCACTGCTAGTGAGTTCCTGACTGCGATTAAGGCCCGCTACGCTACTCCCAGCACTGTCTCTCTTGGCTGACTCTTCCTACCGTTCCTGTTCCTTGACCTCGCCTCGTTTGAGCGCTCTGCTGACTTGATTGGTCACCTCCGCTCGCTTGATTCTAGCTACCGCGCTGCTTGCACTGAGGCACAGCTTGCACTGCTTCCTCCCCCCATGGCGATTACTATCTATTTCATTGCCACTAGCCTCCCTGACCGCCTTGCCTCGGTCCGTGACACGCTTCTCCTGAAGCACCCTAGTGAGCTCACTATCGAGGTCCTTGAGTCTGCGCTCAAGGACGTCGAGAGCAACCTCCGCTTCGTAGCCTCCGCCTCTGGTGCTGTGCCCCCTCCACTGTTCCACGGGTGCACTGTCCCTCAGCTGCCCACCTTCACAGCCTCTCTCGCCACTGCTGCTACTGACGTGACCGCAACTGCTGTTACGACTTCTTCGCGGTCTCGAGGTAGAGGTGGCAAGAGGGGCGGTCAGGGTACAGGTGGCGGCGGCGGTGGAGGCGTTGGCGGCGGAGGTGGCGGGGGTGGCGTGCCGACTGGTGGCGGAGGGAGCGCAGGGCCTGGAGAGGCGTCTCGTGCAGCGGCCAGTGACTCCCCTACTGCAGCTGGTGGAGGCGACACCCGGGCTCGTCCGCCACCTTCTGGTCTGCCGGCCGCGGCGGGTGGAGCAGCGGCGTGGTACCTGGCCCAGCGGCAGCAGCAGCTGCAGCAGCAGCAGCCCCTCCCCTCGCAGCAGTCCTCGCAGCAGCAGCGGCAGCAGTAGGTTTCGGGGCCAGGACAGCGCCAGCCCCAGCGAGGTGTTGTTCACCCTTCGTGCACCTATCAGCTTTTGACAAGTGCTCGCCGAGGCCAGCCTTGTGGCCGCGCCCACCCTCCTGGTCAGTGTTTTGCTCAGCTCACTGACACAGTTCGCTTGGCCTTCGGCGTTGGCGGCCCTGCCCCTGACTGGTTTCCTCTTGTTCAGACGTACGGCTCCGCTCTTTGGGGCATGTCAGCTTCTCAGTTGGTTGATCTCTTAGGAACTCCTCATGCTATGTATGCTGTTGTTGACTCTAGTGCTTCTGACTCTGTTTACTCGAGTGTTGTTAGCTTAGGTGCTAGTCTTGCTGAGTTGCCTGTTGCTAGTGTAGGCACTTGTGTAGACACTAGTCCAGGAGCTACTTTGGAGGACACTTTGCTGTCTTTCACTTTGGACTCTGGGGCTTCGCACTGCTTCTTCCGGGACCACACGACACTTACTCCGCTTCCGGCGCCGGTCTCTGTGGCTCTGGCTGATCCCACCTCGTGACCAGTCACTGCTCGCTACACTACTACTCTTCCGTGCCCTGCTGTTCCCTCTGGGTCTCTGACTGGCTTCCACGTCCCTCGTTCTCGCGAAACTTGGTGGGCGTGAGGCCTCTTGTGAGTCAGCACGTGGGTGTGTGGATTGAGCCCTCTGGTGAGACGGCGGTTTGTGTTGACGCAGACACTTACACGCCTCTTGCCACCTTTACAGCTGAGCCGGGCTCTGGTCTCTACACACTTCACAATGGCTCTGGTGGGCAGCAGCAGCAGCAGCAGCAGCAGCAGCAGTAGCAGCGACTACTGCCCCCGGCCCCTGTTCCTTCCCCCAGTCTGGTCCCTGCGTCTCACCAGGTTGCTGCGTCCCCCCAGGTAGCTGTGTCTGGTCAGGTTCCCGTGTCTGGTCCAGTTGCTGCATCGTGCTCCTGCCGATCACTTGCCCACCCCACCGTTCTGTGGCACCACCGGATGGGGACCCGTCTCTCCCTCGTCTGCGCACTATGTCTCGTCAGCGTCTTGTCTTAGGCCTCCCACGTGTCTTGCCGTCGCTGCCGCCTTCGCTTGCTCCACCGTGCGGTCCCTGCGTCGAGGGTAGGCTGCGCGCCACCCCTCACTCCTCCTCCCTTCGTCCGGCCACCGAGCCTTTTGAGACGCTCCACTTGGACGTCTGGGGCCCCGCCTCTCGCCTTGGCCCTGAGCATGAGCGTTTCTTTCTGGTGGTCGTTGACGACTACTCCCGCTACACCACAGTGTTCCCCCTTGCGAAGAAGTCTGAGGTCACTTCTACGCTGATCAGGTGGTTGCTTACCACTGAGGGCACTCGTGGTCGTCGAGTCAGCTGTCTTCACTCCGACCGTGGGGGTGAGTTTCGCTCCGGCATTCTCGCTGGATTTTGTCGCGAGCAGGGCATTCGTCCTGGACGCTTCCGGAGTCCCCACAGCAGAATGGGGTTGCTGAGCGCCGCATAGGCTTGGTCATGGAGATCGCCCACACCTCCTTGACTCACGCCCGTGCCCCCCATTTTTTGTGGCCCTACGCGGTTAGGTACGCCGCTCACCAGCTGAACCTCTGGCCACGTGTCTCTCGGCCAGAGGTTTCACCGACTAGTCTTTGGACCGGGTCCCCTGGTGTTGCGTCGCGGTTTCGTGTCTGGTGTTGCCTGGCTCTTGTTCGCGACCCCTCCGCGGACAAGATCTCGCCTCGCGCCGTTCCCTGTGTCTTCCTTGGTTTCCCAGAGGACTCCTCTGACTTCACCTTTTACCACCCTCCCCTTCACCGGTTCTTTGACTCCCGTGACGTCAATTTCGACGAGTCCGTCCCCTACTACGTCAGGAACCCCTGCCGAGGTCTCCTGGTTCCTCCTCCCCCTCTCTTCCTGACTTCCGCTCCCCCTCCTGCTCCCCCGGTACAGCCTCCCCCCCCTGGTCCAGCCCCGTCAGGTGTGTCCCACGCTACCCCTCCCCCCTCGGTAGCCCCTCAAGTACAGCCTCCTTCCCCGCAGTCCTCCTTGCAGCCTGCGGCAGACCCTGCGGGAGCCGGTGTTCGTGGCGAGGACCCTGTCGGTGCTAGCTCTGGGGGTGCTGGAGTTGGGGCTGAGTCCGAGGCTGCAGGAGACTCTCGTCTTCCGGGAGCTGGTGTCGGTGGTGCTGACTCTGGGGGTGCTACGTCTGGGGGTGCGGGTGCGTCCCCTTTGGGTCCTTGTGAGCCTGGCCGTGTTGCTGTTGGTGGTACTGCCTCTGGGGGTGGTGCGCCGGGTGCTTTGGAGGGTGGTCCTGGGGCTGCCGCGGCCCCGGACACTACTCCTCCCCCCCACCCCTACCCGACCCGGCACCAGGCTCGTGTTCGCCGTGCCCGTGAGGAGCAGCTGGAGTTAGAGAGAGAGGAGAGAGAGAGTTGCAGCGGCTGGAGGTGGAGCAGCAGCAGCAG